ATTAAGTGTATCTACATTGGAGATAAGCCCGTCAAGTTCTCACTAACCGGGAGAGGCGGCGATTGAATCGAATTACAACTCGGTGAGGGGGTATTCCTAACTCTCACCCCTGGCATACTTAGCAAGGGTAGCCGTGGGTCACCTTTGGGACATCTCAGAACCAAATTCGCGGGTTCGATCAAGCGCTTGACACTCTTAGGGATTACCCTTACGCCGGGACGACAGGACTTTTAAATCACACTGCCCTTGGACTCACGCCACGGCTCCTTCCGAGGCGCACTTTATACTTATCGACTCCCGGCCCGAGGTGAGCTACTCGGCCGTGGTCGGTCTCGAGACCCGGCCAACTAAGAGAGAGGCATGCGTTCAACATGAACAGAAAGGCTCCAAGAATCGGTCCTTAAGCGATACAGGACGGAGTCACGCAAACCAAGCAAGCCTCCTTGGGTCTTCATTTCAAATTAAGATGGTTCTTTTCCACGATAGCAAATATAGCCAACCGTGCCACATGTATATTCCTATATCTCGTAGGTGACAGGAAATCACCCGACTTCTACAGCGTTTAAGCGAGGGCTAAGCACTACGAGCTGAGCTACATAGGATTGGGGTAACAATATCTGGATAAGGATTGGGTAACCAATGCAAAGCAATGGTTTGCATCCAACACCTAAACTTAATGCAACAAATATATATATATATATATATATATAATAATAATGTAATTGCATTTCAGAAATTAGGAGGCTTAATATGCTCTGGGTTTGCCTTTCACAAAGTTGCAAGGGCGGTGGTTCGGGCACTCAACGGCGACCTAAATCGGCACTTCTCTGAAGGCTGCTCCTCCTAAATCTCGGTCTTGTTCATTGCTTTGCTCGCTTTCGAGTTCCTCAAATTCCAGCAGGTTACTCCTTCCGGTACACCTATTGCATGCCGATGCAAAAGATAAATATCATGGATGCATAAGGAATGACATGATGCTCATGATAAATGAATCACAGTGAGTGTTTACGAAAGCATCCTTTGGACACTCGTTACTGAAAGTAATTAGCTCTATTCAAATCGGTTTAAGCATGTATCCACTTAACTTAAAGAACAAGATCAACTTACCTAACTTGCATAACCTAAGATAAAGATGCTCATCTTCAGTTAAAGGCCTAAGACCTAGGAACATTACCACAAACTTAGAAATAGTAAAGGCATACATAATTCAACATTTAAAGTTTCATATGCACACAAATAGTCTCTTAATTCAATCACAACCAGAGTTCTACAAATCCAAATGACTTGCAAGAGGACATTCTGGAAAGCTTATGAAATTCTCTACAATTCATTTGTAAACATCAAAGCATGATTCTTAAGTTAACCAAATCAAATTCCAGTAAACCTAGAATCTGTCCCCATAATGACAGGGTTGCTAACTTAATTATTTAATGATGATGCAAAAGCATAATTTGATCAATCCAAGTTTACCAACTTGTTTTTCATACCTAAGAAACATCAGAAAGTATAGGGCAAACTTCTAAATAATTTATTTAATATCCTTTTCCAATTTATTTAGTTAATTAGGTGATTTAAGCAATATATAGTAAAACTATTCATAAAATCTACAAAATTACAGTAGCTATCTCATGCTGCACATAGACTGCCATAAAATTTCAAAGCCATTGGGCAAGTAAAACGTGTTGTATCTAAAATAACAGATGACATGTCTATTTCTAGCATAATTAGGAAACCTTATTAAAAAGTGTCAAGCAACAGATTTCCCATTTTCCTAGCATCATTCTAGCATAAGAATAGCACTCATAAAATTTTACCTCCACTGGATCTATAGAAAAATTATGAAAATTCACACAAGATCCATCCATTAATAAAAGGAAATTCTATAACTTAAAAACTACATATGCACTAGCTCTTAAATTTTAACCAGAGCTTCTAATAAGCAATAATAGACTACCCACAAAATTTCATAATTTTTGGACCACAGAAACTCAAGATAAAATTCAAACAAGTTTGCATGTATCCAAAAACACATTTCAAAGTCCTATTTAATTCATCCAGAATTTCTAAAACATGTGCTCATATAATATTTTTATTAAATACTAGACAATACTAGGAACTCAACAAAATTAGAACCATAGCATTTGGACCTACCAAACTTGAGTTACATATTTTTGAAATTGTGCACCAAAGCTCGTGAAAAACAGTTAAACAAAACAAAAATGAAAACCTAACCGCTCATTGGGCCAGCCCCAGAAACGATGGCCCATGAACAACGCACTGGCGTGGCCCAAGACGCAGCAGCCCACACTGGGCTCCCGCCTCGGCCTCGGCGGTGACAGCCGGGGTCCCGCGTGGCAATGAGAGGAGGCGGGGAGAAAAAAGGAGGCGGCGGCGAAGCTCGTCGCGGTGACTTCTCGGCGAAGCAAGCAAATTGCCAACAGTTTTCGCCTCACCCCAGCGGACCTAGGGGAACCATCGATTGCAGCTAAGGACGCAGCTAGAGGGGTGGCGATGGCCACGGCGGCGCTCGGCCCGCAGCACGGCCGGCTCCGAGCGACGCTACGACATCGCAGCCCCTAACGGGTGGCTCGAGGAGCTTTGGTGGTGTTCCTAGGACCCAGCGCGAGCCGAGGAGGGGATGGGAATGGCACGAGGAGAGCTGGCCACGCGGAGTGCTAACTCCAGTCCGAGGTCCAAACAAAGGCGGTGGTGGGGAAAAACCGGCGATTGGCCCTTACCGTTGTACGATTGACTCGCTAGCACGGTGGAAAAGGGAGAGGGATCACGGCGGGGCTCTGGGGTGAGCTGGAGCGCGTTTTTGCCAAGACGCGGGAGCTAGGCGAGCGAAGTTCCGGCGGCAATGGCGGCGGCTCGGTCTGCTTATTTGTGGGAGGCGAAGAATGCAAGCGGGCGTCGCGAGTCGTCGCAGGCGGCGCTGGGTGGCTTCAAAGACGGTGGCGTGCTAGAGGCGCGCCACGGCGTGGCGTGGCTCGCGCGCTTTCGAAGCGATCGGCGATGGGTGGCGCCACGCGTCGAAGGTTTTCTACGAAACGGTCGGCCATGTTCCTTTGAGCGTTTTCGAAAACGCGATTCAGAGCTCCACGACGGTGACTGACAGCACGTATTCGACGATCATTAACTCCTAATCCGTGGCGATCTAGACTATGCCATAGTTAACAAAGTTGCTCATCTATACGTGAACTATAACTCTTTCCACTGGAGCTCAAGCTGGTTTGGCTTTGTTAGGGAGATACACGGCTCCAAACATTGGTACACGAAACTGTACTTCACTTTAGGACTTAGAAAAATTTGCTAAGTATGAAATCAGCATGTACTTCTGACTTGTGGGCCATGTTTGAGCATGTTCTAGCCATTTTCATGAGTTGGTCATAAAACAACTTTTGTTCCTTGATAAATTAGCTACAACTTTTGTAAAGAGTGCACAGCCATGCAAAGTCTCTAAGTTGGACTTTTGAATCAGTCAAACAGTGGCACTCTAGGGTTCACTTCAAGTCAAACCTCCATTCAAGGGCAATCTTGTCATTTTGACCTACATGAACAATGTTCCAACAAGTAACCTAAGTGTAGTTAAGGCGTAATAGACCATGATCAACCACTTTACCAAATTGTTATACCACTTCTAATGATCATATGTGATACAGAAATTAAAACAAGCAATTCATACATATGTTTCAATACAATGTTTCACATGTTGCATGACCTTGTTGTTATCCTATACTTGTCACATTACTACCATGTTGCCATGCTTCAAGATATGAGAAATTTATGTTGCATTCATACGTTGCACTACTACCACTCTAAGCAATTAAGCATGAAACACATACAATTTGAAATGTTGCATATGTATGTTTCAATAATAATGACATGATGACATAGATAATGCACATGTTTATGAAATGAAATGCAATTAGTAGAAGCCAAACACCTAGGGTGTTACATCCTTGTTGCCAGGTGATAGAGATCTATACATGCACTCATTATAATTATATAATCTGGATCGAGTTTCCGGGTGCAAATGTACATCTTTTAATTCAGCCGCGGCTTTCTCGGTGTTAACTTTTTATCTCTATATTAATTAAGTATTTTCATTTTTAACAATCAATAGGCTTGTGTCAGCATAACCTTTTCATATTGCTCTAGAAAACTGTGTTACGTGATCTTATATCCATCGACGGTTTATAAAATATTAATGAGCCACTGTCAGCTGTAATTTTCTATTTGATGATGCAATTATCTGTGATTTGAATAACAACCCCGTGCCGTATGAGTCATTTCCGCGTTTGTCTAGTATAGTACTCAATTCATTCCAAATTATAAGATGTTTTGGCTTTTCTAGATTTCTTACTTGCTACGCACTTATATATACACTATGTGTAGATACATAGTGAAAGCAATTATGTAGAAAAGCTAAAATGTCTTATAATTTAGAACGAATGGAGGGAGTATATGCCAATTTCCAGGTTCTACCGGTGGTTCGTCGCTGAGAGAGAAACCACCAAATTGTTGGTAGCGCGAACAGGGTCCATTGGCAACTGCCAACAAGAACTGTCTTTCTTGGGCGAGAGCACCACACTTTCCCGTGCGTGCGGGAGAGTCTAGCCGCTAGCCGATGGGCGTGCGCTGCACTTGCGGTACGGGCCGGCCTGCCGCATGAGTGATGCCGCGCGGACGGCCCAATGTGGGCGTGAAGGTGGTATTCCGGCCGTCACGTTTTTGGATGAGGATTATCGTTTTTTTTTGAGGAAAATGAGGATTATCGTAAACAGCATTGATGAACAAAAGAAATTTGGCGACGGAGTTTATCGGACGGTACACAGTGCTACTCCGGGGAATCAACGGCTAAATATATGCCTGGGATCATTGTTCGTACAACATAGTTTCAGTAGACAAACCAAGAACAAACACAATGTCAGACGATCACACACATAACACACAGTGTCTACGTCCACAACGAAAGGATGCAGATGCACGCTAGCTTGTCAGACGACGACCGCCTCCACGTTCCCGTGCCGCGACTCGGCCACGCCCGGGCACGCCATGATCTGGTACACCAGCGCCGCGACGGCCGCGCCGATCATCGGGCCGGCCCAGTACACGGCCTGGTTCTTGAAGCGCCCGCTGACGACGGCCGCCCCGAAGGAGCGGGCCGGGTTCATGGACGCGCCCGACATCGAGCCCGCGGCCAGCACGCACGCGCCCTCCGTGAGCCCCACCGCCAGCGCGCCCAGCGCCGTGGCCGCGAACCCCCGCTTGCCGCCGCAGCTGGAGCGAGGGTCGCCGACCACGTGCACCGTGTACACCAGCAGGAACGTGAGCACGCCCTCCATGACCGCGCCGCCGAACCCGGTCATCGCCACCGCAATCCTCGTCGTCGGCACCTCCTGCGTGCATGCGCAAGTTCATCGATTTTAGCGAGCGATCAATGTGAAACGACGGCGGTTAGTGTCAGAAAGGAAGTGATCGAGAGCGGTTACGACGACAAACCTCGCCGGCGGAGAAGAGGTTGAGGGAGAGGCAGGCCATGGTGGCGCCGAGCAGTTGCGACGCCCAGTAGAAGATGGCGCTCGGGACGCCGATGTGGCCGCCGATGGCGTAGGCGAACGTGACGGCGGGGTTGACGTGGCCGCCGGAGACGTCGGCGGCGATGAGTACCGCGGCGAAGAGGCCGAACGCCTGCGCGACGGCGGTGGCCACCAGCGGCGAGGCGCTGGTGGTAACGTCCGGCGTCGTCAGCATTCCTGGCAACACATGCACACACATTCCAAACGCAGCGCACGGCGATCAGAAAAAACCGTCCATAATTACAATTGTATATCAACTCACTCATGTGGATGGACGGAATGCAGGGAAACTTGACGTACGGGCGGAGATGGCAGAGCCGACGGCGGTGAACACGAAGAGGAAGGTGGAGATGAACTCGGCGAGGTAGGAACGGAGCGACGGCGGCGAGAAGCAGTGCTTCAAGTGGACAAGGAGGTTGTTCGACGTCGACGCCATGGCACAACTTCTTCGCTCTTCGCTGTTTCAAGTGTATGTTGCGCGCGCACTAATGCCGCACGGCCAGTGTTCCGGAGTTTTATAGCGAGGCCGCGAGGGAGTGGGCGCGTCCGTAGAGTGAAACCGCGCCTGGGTGGTTCGCAGCGGTTGCTGCCGCGCTCGCGCGTGTCCGTTCCAAGTTCACACGCCCGTTGAGGCCAGTGTGTGCCGCCTGCCGCGGCGTATACACGCACGTGTGAACATCCGTCCAGAACATAGGAGTATATACGGAGTACATGGAAAGGCTGAACCGTACATAGTACATTTATACAGATACAGATCGAGCGGTTCTCTCGCTTACAGCATCTTGGCAGCGTTGGTGAAAATTAAACCAGAAGGGAAATGCAAACAAGACCAAACATAATCACAAGCACGAAGCGATGACACGACGACGATGGTGAAATCAACACGACGGATTGCATTGGGTCCGGATCGACTTTCTTCATGGGTACTCCTGCTGGCCGACTGGCTGGTAGGAGGCGATGAACACGTCGCCGTAGACGAGCCCCGCCAGGCCGCCGCCGATGAGGGGGCCGACCCAGTAGACCCAGTTGCCGGCGAAGTTGCCAGCGGCCACGGCGGGGCCGAAGGAGCGGGCCGGGTTCATGGAGCCGCCGCTGAAGGGTCCCGCGGCCAGGATGTTGGCGCCGACGATGAAGCCGATGGCGATGGGCGCGATGGTGCCGAGGGACCCCTTCTTGGGGTCGGCCGCGGTGGCGTACACGGTGTACACGAGCGCGAAGGTGATCACGATCTCCATCACCACGCCCTCGATCTCGTTGATCCCGGACACGCCGTGTGTCGGGATAGCCTGTGCACAGTTCGTTAAGCTCCAAAGTGAGAAGGTGCACAGTGAAAAAAAAAACTACACAGCTACTGTAACGTGCCAAGAGAGACTGATCGAATCGAACCTGTCCGTGGGTGACGTACTGCAGGAGAAGGCACGCCACGGAGGCGCCGAGCAGCTGGGCGACCCAGTAGAAGATGCCGGTGAGGATGGTGATGTGGCCGCCGACGGCGAGGCCAAAGGTGACGGCGGGGTTCAGGTGGCCGCCGGAGACGTTGGCGGCCATGGAGACACCCACGAAGAGCGCGAACGCATGGGCGATGGCGATGGCCACAAGGCCGGCGGGGTCCAGAGCGCCACCCTTTGTCAATTGCGCTGCACAAGACGAATTTGAGGTTGTACATCCCTAGTCAGTGGTGTGAAATAAAGTGAAATGAGACATGCGAGTAAGGTGCTTGTGATAGTAGAAAAAGCTCACAGTAGGCAATGGCGGACCCGACGCCGGCGAACACGAAGAGGAGCGTGGCAATGAACTCGGCCACATAGGCCTTGAGGGACGCGGCGCTGAAAGAGTCGCCCAAGCTTCCAAATGCAAGTTTCACCATCTTTTTTTTCTCTCTGAAGGTATTCTGGCCCTTAGACTGAGTTGGAATTCAGAGAAGATTGGCTATAGCTTATCAGGCTGATGCGAGAGTTCCTTCAGCTCAGTCTCCTTAAATACACATCATAAGGCGCTAATGGACCTGGTGCTTTGCCTCAGATGTGCATTACAATATTATGGGCGGTGTGCAATGATCACCACATGATTGATAATTTTAAATTTTGATCGTGTTTTGTGGTTGATATTGGCCGACCAACCGCCCCAACTCGCTAAATTGCTGTGGAATTGTGGTTCGAGCCACGTTAGGATACACCATCAGACAGCGAGGAGAACAAGACCTTGGAGCAGATATATGTTATATCATGCCTAAACAAATCAATGGCGGTGCGGACTGATATCTGAAATTCTGAACTGATCCTTCATTTCTACCCTGCATCTACTGATGCATCCATGCAAAATCTCGAAATTTATGATCGAATAACACGTGAACAGAGCCCCCCCACCCCCCCCAAACAATCCTTCCGTGGCGAGGTTCTTGTTCTGTTGTTACAAACTACTGCAACATAGTATTATGAAAAGAATACTAATCCTATGCTAGAAGTAGCGTAGTCGATGGATCGTTACTGAGCTGTTGCTTCATTCATAGGACTTGGTTCTCCTGCAACAAAGGGGAATTCCTCGGACCCTCGGCCTGAGTAGCTGACCGAGTAGGTATCACCTAGATTAAAATTGTTACACCTCTCGCGTTCAGGAATCTAATCGTCACTGCATACTGAGTTCTGTAGTGATACACTGTATCATTCCCGTTAAAAAGAAGGTCAGGTCAGGGTACTGCGACAGGAATCCAGTGAACATCCTCCATTTGGGGTAGGTGAGGCGAACAAGATTAATCTACGGATCTTGCGCTGGTACACCAATTGAAAACTGCCAGTTGCAAGGTGATGACAGGGCTCTTATGAGTAGCAGTGTCTTCATTGCAGTTGCAGAATTGCACAAACGATTGAACGAAGATGATGATGACGCCAAAAGGGCCTTATTTCTTTATGCTATCCTTTGTGGTTGTTCAGTCCTTGTGTGTATAGAGTTTCCTAGAACTCTCACTTTTCAATTTAAAAAAAGAAACGTATGCCCTCCCTGCGTGTCAGACAAAATGTTTTGGGTCACTGAGTGGGAATATTCCCTAAACTTTCTCTGATCCTACGTGGGTGTTTTGTCAGAAACACTATTGCCTGATGATTTGTCAATTGTCAATGCAGTATTGTAAGCAATTTTGATCATGCAGCTTTTTCCTGGGAAATATTATAAATGCTTAAAAGTTCCTCATTAATTGATCTACAGTGAAACATACTTTATTAGCATTGTACCCTTTTAGGTATCTATAAACTTTTAGGGAAAAAAAAGAGCGGTAAAAATTGCTACGTTATTACGTTTTTTTTAAAAAAAAACTGCCACGGTATTTTGGTAGTGACAAGTAAACTGAAAAGGAGGATGGTACATTAGTAGAATGTAATTTTGCAGTATGGAGACGAGTCATGCAACTGGTTCTGATTATTACCACGATGATATTGGCAACAGCTCAAACTGCAAGTGCGCTTAACTGCTGAAAAATCCTTAAACTGCAGAAACATAATAGCTCCCAATAAGATGATAAATTGTGGTTAACCAACAAATGTTACTCCAAACAGTAATTACTATATCAGAATTGTTTTTATTTATGATATCAAAAAATAAAGAACCGGTTCAATTTTCAACTTTTAAGAGGGCAATATTCTGATTCACACTACGTACTTGATCATATATTAGTGAAAGCAGCCTTTTTCAGAATAAAAAAAAGGCTAATCAAAGGCTTAATGGCTTAGTGAAGTGGTTAGCACTTTTGGCATGGTCTTAATCCAAAGTGCGTGTAGCCAATAATGCCTAAGAGCATCCTGCTCTCACTATAATTCGAAGTGCATCATAGCTAAGGTCTAGCGATGCTCTAATGATTATTTATGTTTTGTCACTAGGCATACCATTGAGCAAAATACAGCACATTAGAGGCCGGGTCGTGCAATTTTCTTTTCGTATTTGAAATGCACGCTGCCTTTACAAAATTTAAAAAACGCTAATGAAAGGCTTAGTTTCTTAGTGAAGTGGTTAGCACTTTTGGCATAATATGTACAGATTTAAGGAAAAACACTTCATATTTCAACACTTCCTCTCAAATGAAGTCTCCTTAGGTCTTAGACGTTGAATAAAAACAAGAAACAATTATTTTTATTTAACTATGCTATCCAAGATTTAAACTCGAGACCTCTACCTAGTTACTATTAAGTTGAGTCTCTGGCCAACAACTGGTTGTTTTAGTCCCTCCCATCAACCAAATTTTTGCTCATGCACTTTTATTGTCTTATATTTACACCGCCTTATTACTATATTTATAATGATTTTTTCAGTGTAATTTATTGGACAGATTGACGTAGTTTGAGAATAACACAAATATATGCCAAATTTTTTTAAAAAATTACAAATTATTTCTATGGATTCAAGACATAAGAGAAATATATGTCAAATTGTTCATAAATTCTTTAGAAATTAAAAAAAAAATCCACACAAAATTGTTGTGACCGGGAGGGGCGGTGCCCACGCCTTGCACTGGGATGCCCACGCACCGTGTACGCCTGAGACGAAGACGAGACCCGTGTGTGTGTGTGTGGTGGTGGAGGCGGGGGGACAGCTAGCCTGCCCACTCTGTAGGGCAGCAACTCAACTACTGGACAGAGACGGACAGGAGGGCAGCAAGCGGATCAGGCGCCATCCGACGGCCAAAAAAAGCGGTTGAGAGATGTTCCTAAATCAACCGGTTGATCATTAGCATTTCTTATTAGGTTACATTAACTATAAAATGTGTGTAGCCAATATGCCTAATAAGGGCAGGTGTCTTGTCCTGCTCTCGTTATAATTCAAGGTACATCAAGCCAAGGTCTAAAGGCTAGTTTGGAGCTATTTTCTAATTTTGCTCTCAACTTTCGTAAGCCAAATAGGATAGCTCCACAAACTCGCTACGGAAAAATATAGAGTTATAAGGCAACTCTATGTTTTTTTGTGAAGCTTCTCATGGATTACTCCATGATCCTGAGGATTTTAACCTCGTATAGTTCTGAAAACATTAACCACTATTACCCCTACACAACATACTGTTTTCGTTTAGGCCCCATTTGGTGCCACTCTCCCAGCCGCTCCACCTCCAGCTTCACGACTTCGCCAACCAAACGGGAATTGGAGGAACAACTCCTCCTGGAATTCGTGCTGAGAGAAGCTAAAGTAAAAGAAGAGCTGAAAAAGTATCATGACTTCGCCAACCAAACAGGAAGAGGAGGAACAATTCCTCATGGAATTCATGCTGAGAGAAGCCGAAGAACAGAAGAGCTGAAAAATATAGCTTCGTCCAGCTCCGTCCTTCGTCCACCCACCCTAAAATGCCCCCTCCGTGTCCGTGATAGTGGGCGGCGCGCTTGGAGGTGGAGCTCAACTGCGCCGGCACCCCTGCTCATTGTCCTCTAACGACTTAAAACTCAACTTGGTTTGTTCGAAAAAACACCCTCTTCAATTTGATTTGTTCAAAAAAATACAACGCCAAGCCGAGCTAGCCACGAGTTGCTAACTTTTCGTCCAGGCGTCCAGCCTGCTCAGTATAGGAGTGAGACTCTGAGATAAGCAACAACATTCTCACAGCCTGCCCAAACGTCTGACATGTGCTAAGCTCCAGAAAACCTAAGCACCTCCGGACAGTTTCCTCCACGGCTACTGTTCAAACTCAAATCCTCATCAGAGCACGCCGGGTCACACGGTAGCACGGGCTTAACATTACGCAAAAAAAAATAGCGGGGGTGGTTCCATCTGTCCCCACCATTCATATGGCATTTATGTTTATTTTTGCCTCCATCTGCTTTTTAATATAATCAGATTCGTTTCAAATATGGCATGGCAACAAGACCAAATGTCAGCATCAGAAAGAAGTATTGAAAACTTGTTCAGTGTCAGAAGATGGGCTTTCTTAAGAATAAATTCGAACATAGAAAGCTGAAAACATGCAGTAAGCCAGTAACCTCTTATCTTCAGATATATTAGCCAGCGATTCCTGATACAGCGGAATCTGTTATGGTAACAAGCATGCTACAGTCTGATGAATGCCTTCTGCAGAGGCTGGAAGGTTGCTCCTTACATCACTTCTTCGCCTGCCTTCTCGCTGCTCCAAGCAAGAGGACCTTGCCGACCAGTCCAGTGTTGAGCACACAAACTGCAGCCACCGCACCACCAACCACCAACCACTTCCAGTCAAAACCATGTTGAACTGCATGGGAGCTGTCATTCTCGTCATCGATTTTATCAGCAATGGAGAGGTCATGGTCCACGGGACCATTTGAAGCCGTGATGGATATCTTAGTGGTCATTCGAGCCATGATGGCGCTGTGTGACAGGGTATTTTCTGTGTCTCTCATTTGCTGGTACGCTCTGAATCCAGACTGAAGTTTCTTCACAGCACCCCACATGCCGTGACGAACAGCAACCCTGGCTACATCTTTTGGTATGCCCATGTCCTCATAGTGAACCAAAGTTACTTCACATGCAGATTGCTGACCCACATGTTTAGGCGATTGAACTGCATTTCACAAACAAAGAATATGATTACAGTGTTAAGGTCTAAGCATTTGTGTTCATGCCTGACTGGAAACCTTTCATGTTCAGAACAAACACAGCTCAAGACACCATAATGATACTAACTACTAAGAAAAAGAGTTACCAGCTTTAATACGCCAACTTGAGAAGTACAGCTCCACACGCCTCGGCTTTTCTTTCTTGGGCAATGATGGATATGGAACACCCTGACAAATGGAGGTTGCTGAGTGCTCACATATATGCCACTTACATAGGATGTTATCAAACATTTTCTACAGGCAGAATCTTATCCATATTTTGCAAACATGCCAGACAAGGCAGGCATGTCGCTCTAATATACGGAGA